GGTCCCCCTGCCCCCCCCCCAGGCTGGCACCCAGGAGCCATAGCCCCCTCCCACCTCCCCTGTCAATATGCCACTGTTAGGGCCAGAATGAGGAGCAGTTGCTGGCCCCTATGTTTTAGTATCTCATTCCTTACTTAGCTCTTTGAGACAATGACCATTTAAAAAAAATCTTTTTACCTTCTAGGGCGAAGTTCATGTACTAGTTACACTTCACTTTGTGATGCCAGGCAAGACACCATACATTTCTGTGTTCTTCAGACTTCCCACAGAATTCCATGTAGCTTTCCTACAGAAACCGAGGGACCATTATGTCACAATGTAGGTCTATTGTGATTAGAGTCCTTGATTTAAACAGGTACCTGACTAAGCTACAGGAGCAGCAACCCACAACAGCAGATTGTATCTATAGATTTTTCATCATTGGTTCTAAGAGTCAAAAGACATTATGCTCAACACACTGCATTTTGCCCACTACCAACCCTATCGCTACTTCAGGAAGCAGGGCTGCTAAAAATAAAGCAGCAATTGTGCAGTCCCTTCACAGCATCTGATGAGGTAAGCCCTCTGCTTATTAAAATGTATGCGTCTCTGATTTAGTTAGTCTACAAAGGTGCAGATCTAGTTTCATAGTGAGTAGAGTCGGAAGGGACCTGAGCAGATCATCAAGTTCGACCCCTTGCCTTCTGACTCCAGACCAACATGGTTCTCTGATAATGTCTTTGCACATCTTTAATTTTAACTGAGAAATGGGAACTTTTTTAAAGCCAAGATTTTCATAACGCGATACGGACTTTTTAAAAAAATTTTACTTTTGAGGTGGCCAAACTGAGATACCTTAAAAGGCTTGATTTTCTTCTCTTTCTAAAAACCATGCCTTTTTCAAGCATCTAGGCACTGAAAAAACTGAGGCACTCCAGCCTTTTCCACTTTTCAAAAGTTTGGCCACAACACACATTGCTAACAACAGGCAGAATGGGGGACATCAGAGAAGTAGCTTACACTTAGGAGAAGGGGTGGCGGTAAAACAAACACGCCACATGCATGTGTGTGCATACACACTATTGCTAATTGGTGCCAGCTCACACAGCATAAATTACTATCAGAACCAAAAGAACATAACCCCTACCTTCACAGCTGGAAGTTAGGTAACTGGGCTCCACATAGCAGCAGATTGTGCTACCCTTACTCACTTTGAACTGTCCTTTACTACCCAATAAGTAGCACTGTTGAATGTCAAATGGTCAACATGTATGTAAAATATTATGTAGGGCAAGGTAATTGCAATGGGGCCTTTAGTTTAATTTATAGAAAAAACTTTGCAGATAGAACCACACTCTTCAGCATTTATGGATTAAGCATTTATGGATTTATGGTGCTCAACCTATGGTCTACGGGGTGGACTGGCCCCCAAAGTGACTAGATCCAGACTGCAGCACAGGGGATCCACTGCAAGCAGCTCAGTCTGGTGCATCCCCTTCCCTTCCTTGACCTGCATGCTCTGATCACTTCTGCAGCCTAGAGATAATTTTTCTTCCTCTCCTTCAACATTGGTTGCAACTCCTGGTGCAGTCTGGTCTAAAGTACCTGGCTCAACACCTTGAGCTCCTCTGAATTAAGCTTTCAAAACATTCATGAAAAGGAAGGGCTGTGATCCACTATCTAAGCACTTCCAGAGTGAGCAATGCTAATGAAACACAAGTGACCTTGTTAGCAGTCAACACAACAAAGTCAAAAACAGGTTCAGCAATCAAGTTTAAATATTAATTACACCTGAGAGCAAGCCTGTCTCTGCTGCCATGCCAAGGAGCTACTTGCATGTCTCTAGTGGGTTATGGAATAGAGAAAGATCCCACACAATTTACTGATTCGTTTGATGTGCCTGGCTGGGGGAGTATTTGGTTGATTACACAATTTCACAATGATTGCACACTTAATTCATACAACACAATTTTATTTTAAAATTCCTTGCTACGCATGTAACACTTCTTAGCTTTAAGAAAAACCACAAACATTAAAAACACAATAACTACATATATTAGAAACAATGCTCCAAACGCACTTCCTTCCCAAACAATGCTATAAGAATTAGTATTACAAAAACAACTACAATTACAAGTAAAGGTTATTTCTCATGGTATACTTACAATCCTAGAATTCCAAGAAACCAAATCCCCAGATATACTTTCATTCTTTAGTTATGGTTTTAGGGTTGGTCTCAGCAGTGATAGGAACAAGTCCCCTTCCTTCGGTCCCACTCTCAGGCGCTCCATGGCTTCAGTGTGAACTGGAGTTCTTGTTCACGGAGAGGGTGGTTCAGGTGATCAGTCTGATCCGGCCTATACTTGCAATTCTTCCTTCAATGTTCTGCAAGTGAAGTTACCTCCAGACTGGGACTGTAGGTTACAGTTTTTATTGGGTGAGTTGCCGTCTGGGGCCCCTCCTACCCATCCTGTCACTACTCCCAAATTCGGGCTCAGATCTTTTACACAACAGATTCTTTTCCTGGGTCTTCTTTGGGAAATTGTCCACATCACTGCTGTGACCTCTTGCCAACCCCTTTCCAAAAGTCCCTAGGTTTCGATCTCTCGGAATGGTTACCTAAGGGTCGCTTTTAGGTTAACTTTGTTGAAGGCCTCTAGAGATCAAATTCAAGAACCAAGACATTCAGCACGTTCGCTGCAAGGCCTCTAAAGATTAAATTCAGAATCAAGACATTCACCTCGTAGGCAAAAACAAACAACGACCCTAGATAAAAAGATGAACCTTGCTTTTTTTTCTAAACTGGCTAATGGGTATTTATTATAAGCATTCATATATGACATTGCCAGTTTTGTGGCTGGCCAGACTGAGGGCAGAGGCGCTGTATTTTGACTGATAAGTGGGAGTGAGATGCACCCAGGAACAGATGGGGGGGGGGGGGGGGGCTCTGGTGCACCTGCACTCCCCTTCGATCCCTGTTTGGCCAGGGTTTGACACTAACTGCTAGCCCTGGCAACAACATTTCTAGTCAGGCAGCTGAAGGAGTTGCTTGACTTTGCAGCTTATCATCTCTCTGATCCCTTCAGAGCTCTTCATTCCCCCAGCGTTGGCAACCCGCTCTTCCCCTTCGTGGTCTTCATGTTCCACCAGTAGAACCGGCCTTTGCTGCCCATTAGCTGTTCCTGGTCATGCAGCCATTTCACAGCCCTGTGGCCTGCTTGTAATTTGTCCCAATGAAGCTGTATTTGTTTGTGCATCAACACCGCCCAGGGCCGGACCGAGTGGGGAAGCTCCCGGGGTCTTTTCAAGTGGCGAACATGTGCAGCGCTCTACAGGGGACCCCTGCCCTCTGCAAAACCCTACAGCTCCCCATGGACATCACACCGCGGGTCCTAGCCCCAGCAGGCAAGCTCCACACGTGTCACATGGAGAGGAGATGTGTGCAATGGCATGTACGTGTGTGCACACAGAGAGGGTGTCTACCCTATCTCGTGTGTGTGTGTGTGTGTGTGTAGGGGGTCTACCCTAGTGTGTGTGTGTGTGTGTATAGAAGGGGGGGGTCTGCCCTAGTATGTGCCTCTGCGTGTGTGGAGGAGGAGTCTACCCTATTGTCTGTGTGTGGAGACGGTCTACCCTATCTCGTGTGCGTACGCGTGTCCCCTCCTTGACTCTTCCCACCCCGCCCAGGTCCGCGCCCGCGGCCGAGAAGGGGCGGCCCGGCCCGGCCCCCGCCCCCGCCCGCA